AAAAAAAAAATCACACGATCACGTGATCACCTCAATAGATCCAGAGACTGACAAAATCCAATGTGCGTGCATAGTAAAATCATCAACAAAATGTGCGTCTGGACCTTATTTCACTATTATAAAAGTCACTTACAACAGACCTATGGAACACATCTTATTAAATAGGGGGAAAACTGAATTTTTTTCCTCTAAAATCACAAACAAGACATAGGTCTTCACTTACACCATAGCTATACAATATGGCACTTGAAATTATAGCCTGAGAAATTAGGAGAGAAAGGAAAGGAAAAGGATGCATATAAATTAAAAGGAAGAATTCAAGCTGTTCTTATTCATAAATGACATAATCCCTTACATAAAACACTCAAAAAACTGCAACAACTGGAACTAACTGAAAAAAGCAGCAAAGTAGCAGGATACAAAATAAACACAAAGGGCCAGCCAAAAGGCTTAGCAGATTAAAGTTCCTGCAAGCAGGCTCAGGGGCTGGGGGTTCGATCCCTGGGCCTGCAGTGCTGGCCCGCCCCCTGGGTGAGCTGAGACAGCAATTGAAACTGAGCGTGGTGGAGCACGCCTGTAGTCCCAGCTCTTGGGAGGCTGTAAACAGACGGATCACCACAAGTCTAATCTAGTAGTAAGACCCTGAACACCCTGTAGACCCTTCCCTAAAATAATAATAATAATAATAATAATAATAATAATAATAATAATAAATAAGCACAAAAATCAATAATGTTTCTATATACCAATATTGAACCCAATGAGAAACAAATTGGGAAAACAATCCTGGTCGCAATATCTCCAGAAAACTAAATATTTAAGATTTGCCTAAGAAAAAGCATAAAAGATTTCTGTAATAAAAACTGTCAGGGCTGGGAAGATAGCTCATGGGATAAGTGCTTGCCTGGCAAGCGCAAGCTCCTGACTTCAATCCCTGGTACCAACAAAAAGAAAAAAAGAATGCCTTCAAAAAAAAAAAACAAAACAAAACAAAAACTATCTTATTCTAAAAAAGAGATTGAAAACAGAGTCACTAAATGGAAAGATATCCCCTAGTCCTGGATAAGTAGGACAAATGTTATCAGAATTGCTATATTGTGAAAACTGATAACAGAGATTAATGTAATTTCAGTCAAAACACCAACCGCATTCTTGAAGCACTAGAGGGCATAATCATCCTGCTGTCCGCTTGAGCAAGAGCCAATGTGTGGTCTTAATGGATAGTATCTACCCTGCCCTTGCTTGCAGGATGTTTTTGCAAGTTAAACACATCCACTGGATGTTTTCAAGAGAAGTTATTCCTGAAGATTTTCCCACCCTTTTCTCACTGTTAGAGTGGGGGCAGCTTCCACTTTAGCTTCATATATCTCAATAGAACCCAACAATCTGTATATTTTCTTTATCTAACTGCTTGTGACAACTTGCTTTTTTTTTTTTCTTTTGTGGCACCAGGGATTGGCCACAGGACCTTGCGCTTGCCACGCAGGCACTTGTGCCGCTGAGCTATCTCTCTGGCCCCAACATTCATTATATATCAGAAGAAAGTAATCATTTCTCTAGCAGAAGATTCTGAAATCTTTAACTTGACAATAGAGTGAAATTAGAACCATTTAACATCATTACATGTTTCAAAAGTGTTATATTTAAATTGAGTAAATATGTTTAAATATCTCTGAAAGGATAAGAAGTTCAAGATTAGATACTTTTAACTTTTAAACTTTTGTTTACCTCTATTTTAAAAAATTTTAAAAGGTTAACCATCTACTTTATGTAGATGAAGACATTTTTAATGCTAATTATCACATTTTATAAGAATAAAATAACATTCTCATTACAAGTCTTCTTAAATAAATCTAACCTTTTCCATTACCTGTGAAATTATTCATCTAAGTCTGTATGAAGAGATTCTAAAAGGTGCACTGAACTTCCTTTAAATTCCCCTCTATAATGAAGTTCAGACTCCCCTTGTCTGACCTCTGTTATTATGGCCCACAGGGTTTCTCTTTGTTGTCTTGTTTTCTGCCCACATCTAATTGTTTGTCAATTATCTAATCTAGGAAATCTTGACTTTCTCTAATCCATCGATACCATGCAATGTAACCCTTCTGCACATATTTAACAGGACACTTTGTGTTGATTTTCCAATCTCTGCTATTTTTTCTCTTTTTTCCTTGGCAGTCATACAACCACATTTTGTGTATGTGAAGATGTTCTTTGAAAAGTAAATCTTGACATCTTTAACTTTAGCCATTACTTGAAGTATACATTTAATGTTTTGGTAAATAAAAATGCCTTCTTTTTAGGAAGTATAAAACACATCATATCGTGATGAATTTCAAGTCAGCATCATGTCTCCTGACAAGATTACAAAGCCAAGGCAGAGTTCTAAGCAGAGCTGTGAAAAGAAAATGCTGTCTTTATTTTTCTGTACATTTTCAAGGATGAAGATCCCTTGATCCCTGGTATAAAGATCAAGGATAAAGCACCCACGTTTGCTGCTGCCAGATAGCAAGTCCACTTCAGAGCTACAATACTTCTTAAAAGCAAGAAGATTTGTGCAATCATTGATAATCCTCCCAGACCTCAGCTTCCTCTCTGCTCTCGTAAGCTATGCTGGCAAATTCCCTTTCTGTTACTCCTCGGGAGTATGCTACACAATTGGTTAGAAATCCTTCTCCACTCAGATGGTAAAATTTAGCTGTGATATTGAAAATGGCCTTATGTGCTCACTTCGGCAGCACAGATACTGAAACTAAACTCTGCAGAGAAGATTAGCATGGTCCCTGCGCAAAGATGACAATCAAATTCATGAAGCGTGCCTTATTTTAAAGTACAAGGAACTCTTGAAGACATAGGGGTAGGGAAAGAGTTCATGAACAAAAATCAAATCACATGGGTAATACTTGAAAGAATTAACAACTGGGACCTCCTCTCATTGAGAAGTTTTTGCACGATAAAAGAAATTAACAACAAAGTGAAAAGACAAACCACAAATTTGGAAAATATCTCAACTAATAAGCACTCAGACAAAGGTCTGCTCTCTACAATTTATAAAGAACTAAAAAACATTAGCGCCCCAAAATTAAAAGACCCAATCCAGAAATGGGCATCAGAGATGAACACACACTTCTAAGAGGACAAAATTACAGAAGCAAATAAATATATGAAAAATGCTCCACATCACTAGCCATTCATGAAATGTAAATTAAAACAACACTGAAATACCATCTCACCCCAGAAAGGATGGCTATCATAAAGAAATCAACCAACAACAAATGTTGAAGAAGCTGCAGGGAAAAAGGAACCCTTCTCCACTGCTGGTGGGAATGTAGACTGGTGCAAAAATTATGGAAAGCAGTGTGAAGACTCCTTAAAAAACTAGGATTGGAAATCCCATTCAATCCAGCCATCCCCCTGCTGGGAATTTTCCCAGAGGAGCTGAAAACATCATATCATAGTGATATATGTGCACCTATGTTTATAGCAGCACAATTTGTGATAGCCAAATGTTGGAAACAACCAAGATGCCCATCA